CTAGAGCTGAGCGCGTGTCACCCTGATGTTGATTGGTTACTCAATGCTAGAGCTGAGCGCGTGTCAGCCTGAAGTTACTTAAGCTGAAGTCACGGCACGTATCATTTGGTGGGCTTATTCATTACTCACTTTATAGCTGTGGCAATCGCAATAAGTTCATCGTTAATCTAAGCTCGTTGCAGGTTGACACCTCGCAGACGCTCTGTACAGCTGAGTGCGTTCAGCAAACGGTTGATCCCCCCGTACTGCAGCAAATCGTTGGAGACTCCCTGAGTCATTAAGCATTGGGCTATAGTCTTTCTCCTCCTCTAAATACATAGCGGTTTTATTGTTTTATGTTAAATCTCTGCTATGATATAAACCTGTAGAAACAGAAATCTTGTCTGTGGTTGCTCCTTTCAATTCTATTTGTAATCATTATTCAAATTATCAACAACAAAAATTGAATATAAATTTATAGGTTGAGCGCCTGTGATATAATTTCTTGTCTAACCTAAACTAGGAGGTTAGACTATAGAAACAACACTAGATTGGGTGGAAATATTCGGATGCGGATCATTAAGGCTTTTTTATGCGCGATTTAGGGAGCACGAAGGAATGTTATGAAATTTCTTTTGTTTATAATCTCTGTTAGAAAGGCGTGCCACCAGCCTGCGTCACATATCGGGGACAACAGATCAAAGGGAGTGCACTAACAAATGAAGGGGTGTAATTTAAATGGGGTTCATTGTCAATAAAGGGATTAAATCTAATAAATAATAATAATAATAAAAATAAATTTCATTTCAAAAACACTCTTCATCCCTATTTAAGGCTTAAAGCGCGGTTCAGGGTCTCCAACATAATTAACAATAGATCACACTAAAAGGGAAGTTCACTGTCTAATAAAGGGATGCAATCACAAAGAGAGTTCAGTCAAAAAAAGGGATGTGATCTCAAAGAGAGTTCACCGTCAAATAAAGGCGTGTAATCTCACAAGACTGTTAGGTATCAAATAAAGTAAAGGAATGTAACTTTTTTTTTTAAAGTTATAATTTGAAGGAGAGTGTAGCCCATTAAATGGATGACAGCTTTAGTAGTTATTTAAAATCAAATAAAAGGAATAGATAATATCAAGAGATTTAAATATCAAATTAAGAGGTTTGTAAATATTAGATTACCTATTGAGTTCTCTACTGGGAGTGGGGTTGGGAGAGGGGGGTGGGGTGGGAGTGGATTCAGCCTCAGTAACATGTATGTTGAGTTTGCGGAAAGAAAATCCGATCGCCTCTCGGCATGTTGGCTACGATCAGGATGTGGCGTCTGTGATATCTCGCTTGGTTCACAGCCCGTGTCGGGTAGAACAAAAGAGAGAGCAGCAAGGCTAAGGTACCCGGAAGGACAGAACTGGAAGAGGGACCACCCACAGTACTGCAGCAATTCTGGGGGGGGGGGGGGGGGGGTTGG